TTTTCTCTGTACTTTTCAGAGTACTCCTAGCAGATTCTCCAAGCCTGCAGGCCTCATACATATGTTCTAATGGGCTAATTGTAAAGGCGACATTTGTAAATTAATCTCTGACTTGAGCTAAGTGGTTTCCCCTAATGGTTTTCATCCAGCGACTCCCACTCTTGGCCGCGTGTCAGAGTCTCTGGAAGAGTGTGTGAGAGATAGAGGTGCCCAGACTCCACTTCCCCAGATGTCATGGTCCTGAATGGGGACACCAGACACCTCTGGTTTTTTTTTTTATTTAAAGAGAAATACAAAACAAAACAAAATAGTAACAGGGTACAAGTAATACAGAATTTCAAGAAAAAATATACAATAAGAAATCACTAGTTAATAGATTATATATTGTCATCTTAGAAATAGTTCAAATTACAAAATTAAAGCATACAAAGTGGACATTCAAACAGTGAGATTGCAAACAGTTTTGTTCAATGATCCAACAAAAGCTTAGTAATATGGTTTTCTATCTTACACACTTAAATATGCATGCAGTTATATCCTTTAGATCACTTTCTTTTCCTCTCTTTTTTTATAACAATTACACATTTTGTGTTTTATTACTCTCACAGTTATTATTACTTTTTTTTGAAGAGAAAAAAAAACAAATGTGACAGAGTAAAACAGAGTCAGTAAGAACAGAAGGATGGACATAGTACATGATGTAAAAACAGAATACCAGGTGATCAATAATGGTTACCATTATGCCTCTTGCTATCTTAACAAGAGTTGCCTATATATCAGGTATAATAGAATTGAACAGAACAGTACAGAACAAAAGCAATAAAACCTAAGCATTGGAGACTTTACAGGACTTCAAAAGAAGCTAATAGTCAAACCATAATGGGCATCATAGTAAATCTTATTGCCTTCAAAGTGGTTGCCTATACCCTCAAACTTGATACTATCAAACAAAACAGAATAGAGTAAAATCAGTCAAAACAAGATGGGGAGAGCAATACAGGGGTTCAAATCAGGTTAACAGGAAAACAAAAAAGTTACTATAATATATCCCACTATTTTTAAATTTATTTTTCCCTTAATTAAAAAATAAATTAATTTTGACACCTCTGTTTTTAAAGGAAAGCTCCCCAGGATATAGGATAGCTGCTTTTGTGAGACTTGGGTCCCAGTTCATCTAAGAAGGCTTCTGTCATATCATGAGCTGATTGGAAGTATTTAGACCTCAGGCTGAAGCCAAGGTCTGAAACAGGCAGTGTCTCTGAAAAAGCCCCCCTTCCTAGTTTGTTCTTCTCTGTGTCCATATCCCTGAATCCCTGAATCTGCCCTTTCCTGTGAGCTCCAATGACCAAAGGAGGATATTCTATACTAGATCATGTGTTTTCCATTTTTCTGAAATTTCTCATGGCCCTCTGGGATTTTCATCTAAAGAGAGAGCTGTGAGCCTCCCTCCTTGTTCATCAGCAGACTCCTTGTGATAAGGAAGACAAACTTTAATTGTTTGTTGTTCTTGTTTCAATGCACTGTGTGTTCTCCTGGCATTCTTTGGTGAAAACACATGTCATATCTCATCCTGAGTTATGAAAATAGGTGAGTCACAGGTGCCATCGTTCCAATGACATTTACACATTGCTTTTGTTTTTAGGAGTCAGGCACCTTGGAAACATCATTGCATATTCAGTATCACCACATAGCAAATGGGAGTTTTTGGAAAATCGGAGAATGTGGCAGTTGGTACCATTCAGAGGAGCCAGTCAAAGTGATGGTTGAGCCAGTCCAGGAGAAGTTGGCCAAGCTTGGCAGGTGTTACGGAGAAAGTCAGGAAAGTGGTTGCAGAAGGGTAACACTCAGTATGATCTTGCCCTCATGTTACTGTGCCCTTTGAGTCTCAGCCCTCTTTTCCCTGGGACTATAGATCCCCAGAGACCAGGAAAGGACACTTTGAAGAGAGCTTGAGATAACAGTGTCTTATTGCCCTTTTTCAAGAGGCCCTTTTTCAAACTTCTTTGTTGACTAACAACCCAACCAGCCAGTAGCTTGTTTGACTTTGGCTATACCTAATTAGTACGTATTCAATTATACTAATTAAATAATGGCATATGATCCATCTATGTAAGAACCACTCTGCAAAAGAGTATATTTCATGACTCCAAATGGGTTCACATTTTTGTTTCTCTTGGGGCTTGTGCATATTGTACATTAAATAAATACTTAGATGACTATTTGGAGGCATGCTATAACATAACTACCATTTGGGCTAAAATTGTTTTACAAACTCTGAAATTTTACATTTAGAGTAAGGTTTTCAGAGTGGGGATTTATTAAAGAATTAGAGAAAGGGAGAGAATGAACTCAACTTTTTCACTGTCTTTGTTATGTGGAAGTCAAGTCTCTGTTCCTGTTTTCAGTGTCACTTCCAAAGGGTTGATGTGTTCCTCCTGCACCTGGATCTAGGCTGACCGAGCCGTCAAGCCTGACAGGATAAAGAGGTGTTTGGAAGTTTAACAAGTACATGCACAGTTACCTTTATACTGAGAAGCTTTGATCATTTCATGCATAGAGCCAGGTGACTGTGGGTGGTGGTGAATGGGGCAGTGTGGACTCTCTGCATCTCTTAGAGATAAAACCTTCTGGCAGAACAAGTGAACCCAAGCATAGGTCCATGAACAGAGCCCTCATTGCCTGGTGCTGGGAGGAGCCCAGGAGGACATTTGCCTCTTGGTTTCTCTGTGTTCTTATCCTAAGAGATGCTGCTATTTGAGTGTGCATCTCAAGAGAACGGCAGGATTTATTCCCTCTTATTCTGACTGGCTGATTTGCCTAAATAAGCCGTGCATTATCCCCATCACAGACACCAAGTGGAGGCAGCTGGGACAAATTAATGCCAGTTACTTTGACCATCCTGATGCTGGAAAACATCACCATTGCAGGAGCAAGAGATTTGAGCTCCTCATAGAACGATGTGGAGGCCATTTACAAGGAGTTTTCCTTTCCTTTCCTGTGATTAGTGCTTTGAGTGGCATAGGACTGTCTAGCCAGTCTGACAAGAGCTCAGCATTCACAAACACACACATGGAGCCAAGTCAACGGGGATTAGTACTGGGTCTGCTGTTTATGAATGAAGAGGCCTGGCCTGGCTGCTCTGGCCACACCCCTTCTCCCTTTGCAGCTTTTTGAGAATGAGGTCAGGGCTGGGATCTAAGTGCTTAACTCTCAGAAATAGCAGCACAGCTCCAATTTAATCTTAAGCTATTTGTTTCGCTGCCTCCTTCAGAAAACAGAGAAAAAAGCAGAGGCTTGTTTGTGCTGTTGTTTGTTTTTGTGTTTACCTTTGCAAGGAGTTATGAATGAATGTGCATGAGGGGAGAGATGGAAGTGACCAGCCTAGAGAGTTCTACGATGGGTCTGTAATTGCTGACAGACAGCAGGAGTTTCCTTGGATTCAGCGGGACCACGTTTTGGTTTTTAAAGCAAATTAGAAGCATAAAATAGGCCCTGGTGGTGCATTGTTTTAACACCTCCTTTCATAAGGAAGTGTTAGCAGTTGGTATGAGATAGAGTATCTCTTTTACAATGTCCAGTTATTTTGGCTGTTATCTTCTGTTTATGTCGCCCACCATCCCCCACACCAGGAGCTCCATGGAGTTGTGCAATGTTTCAAATGAGTATTTTATGCAGATTTCATTTTCCACAGCTACTCTGGCACATACTCAAAATACAAGTTGTGTGTGTGTGTTTTTCCTCTTACACATACACACATACTCACACACAGCTTGATCACACCCTCAGCCAGTACCAGCAGGGTATCAGTATGTAGATATTCCAGGATACACATTTCTAACCGGCTCTTCAACCCTGGGACTCTTTAAGATATTAACATAACTAAAAGACACTTGTTGACTGGCAGGCAGGGATTGTCTGTCATGATTATGTTTACTTTCTGTTCTCAGGCTTAATTGTTGGCTGTTAGCTTCTTTTTTTAATTTTTGGCCATCTTTTAGTTGCATTAATAGTCTCTTGAGTGAGAGATTAAATAAACTCTTTGGAACACTGAGTGAGGACAGAAGTGTGAATATCAACCTAATCTGTTACATATTCATTTGCTGAACTTCTGTGTGACAGGTGTCCATTGAAGGAGATGCCAAGCTGTCTTTTATAGCAAAGGTGATTAACTTTGAGTGAGGAGTCTAAAGAAAGATTGTCATGTAACTGGTCAAATGCATTACTGAATTTGGCATTATGTACTTTGACTATTTTCCTAAGAACTTGAGAAGTGTCATAACCACATGAATACATAGCATCGATGCAGCAACCAGATCTACGCCGATAGCTGTAGATCGTGTGTGTATAAATATGCACATATATGTATAAATATGTACACACATGTACCCCAATGAACATTTGTACAAGCAAATTTGTGCTTTTCAAATGCATATTTTTGGATTGGAGACAGTAAGTAGATTACTGAGTCTGGGGGATGAGAGAGATCAAGGATTAATTTAACAGGCGTGTAGGATCTCATTGGGATGTTGAAAATGTTCTGAAAATGGATTATGTGGTGGTCACACTCTTTGGTGAATTTACTAAAAGTCATTGAGAAATTGCACGCTTGAAGTGGGTGAGTTTTAATTGATATCCTTTTAGGGTCCCTTTAGGGCCTAGGTCACAATCATCTGAGAAGTGGCATCACTTGCTCTTTTCTCCCTGCGGTTTAATGGCTTCAGTTACAGAGAAGCTGGACCTTGAGATAAGCAGGTCAGACAAAAGGCCAGTGGTGTAGGATAGGAAAGTCTACCCTGACCCCTATTGGCAAGGAGTGAAGTTGCTGGCCACTGGCAGATAAGGACCAACATCAAGGCAGTCCATGGAAGGCTGGGTAGATTTCCAAGCTGGTCTGTGAAAGCATTTGGCGCTGTGTTTTAGAGCTGCTGCTGCTGTGTCAAGAAAAATAAACATTCCGCTATTCCACTCTTCAGTGATGGCATCTTTCTCTTCTTTTGCAGGTTGTCTTAGTCTTTGCTCTCAGCATTGGTGCACTTGTAATATACTTCATAGATTCGTCAAAGTGAGTATTCAAATACATTATCTGATCCTCTTCCTTGTTTTTAAAAAAAAAGAAAAACAAACACGACCCTTTACATTGGTGGATTTATTTATCATGCAACCCACCTTAACAAAGACCTCCTGAGTGTGGAAGACTGTTGGAGGAAGGCTGGGCTGTTCTGTGCTGATTTTCTGAATGGGCAGGAAAGCTCTCAGAAGGCCGCTTTGATTCTGCTGGCATGGGAGGGAGAGGCCTATGGGTCAAGTCTTCTTGCTGGGAAGTCTTTTCTTATTTTTGATTGTTTCCTGATGAAGTGTTTGCACTGAAGATGTCAAGAAGTTTAGAGGGCTTTGATGGAAATTTGCAACCTGTGGGAGGGTGACAGTGTCCCACAGCTGAGAGTCTGAAACCAGTCTAGGATAGGATCCTTTTCCTTTCTGGGATCCTCATGCTTTGACCTAATTGGAGGGCAGGTTAGAAAGCATAATGCCTGTCTGTCACCTGCTAAGCAAATATTCAGCTGAAGCATCGCATACTGGTGCTTCTTGACCTATAAAGGTAAGAAGGTGGAGCGAGGAGTTCACCATGACTCCTAGAAGTAGAGGACGGTGGCCATCTGAGGATTCCCAGAGGGGACACTCATGCAGATGCTTAGAGCACTCGTGCTGAGTGAACTGGTGCTCCCCAGTAAACCTGGGTCACAGATGGTGAAGACCTTGTGGGAGGTCAAAGAGAACACTGACGAGGGGGGCTGCTAGGTGGTGGCTCCTTTGCTTTCCTGTGGGTGCCAACCATAGGTGTACCGCTTGTTCCAAACACTCTGTTGTAATTTTGAAGTTGACATTTTTCTGTTGTGATGTGAACTTGATGACTCTGGCCAAGTACAAAGGCCTTGAGCTCATTGTCCTCATTATCTACTGTGAGAATGTCCTCAATTCTTTTAATGCCACTCCTGGAATGGTTGGATTTCAGACTCTGATCCTAGCAAACCTGCTCAGTGTCTTTGTTGGTTTGAACTCTGAGCTTGGCGCTCGCTTCCTGTGGCTTGGGATGGTGGCGATTTCATGCGCATTTAAACTTTAAATTTCTCAGAGCCTTTTGGTTACTGGCCAGAGGATTTTGTGTATTCGGGTGCAGAGGTCAAAATGTCATGTCAGGAAAAATAAAGAAAGCATCCCTTCTGATCACCTCTCTGGGAACCGGTCAAGTATGAGACTAAGAGAGGTCCTGCATATCACCGTCACACAAGTCTGGGCTTCCCTCATCCATCTTGAATGGAGACTCCTTTAGAGGGGGACAAGAGTACACATGCTCTCTCCATGTGAAATCCTGAGCCAAGAAAAAGAAGAGCTTTTATTTAAGTCTGGAAGACTCCAGTTGGTATGTCATTGAAGGTAAGCACCCCTTTAATATTTACTCTTACTGATTCTGGGCCATATTTGATTTAAACTGGAGATCTTCTAAAGCCCTTCCTCTTATTTCTCCAATCTCTCCCCAGGCATGTTCTCACATATTGTATCGTGTATACCCTATCACCTCCCCTGCTGGGGCTCAGGAGAAAGGTTTGGCTATGTTCCCCAGAGAGAGCACACCCTTAGGAGGTGAGTGTGGTGATTGCTTGGAAAGACAGATGCGTGGGCCACTCTGTACTTCCCACTTTTCTCCCTTTCTGCTCCTTTGTATTTCTTTGAAATAAAATAGTTTTGTTAGATGGCTCTGCATGGTGTCTTTTTTTTTTTTTTTAATGTGTATTGGGAGACAATCTTTGGGTGGGGTATTCGGTGTTCTTGTCTCCATGGGATGGGATGGACAGAGATGAAACTCCCGTAGGCAGATCTTCTTCCCCACGTCCCTCCACATCCATTGGTTTCACTTCTGACTCCCCCAGTCCTCACAGACACTGGCATTGGGAATCCTCTCCAATTCTGGCTTCTTTCATGGACCGACAAAGTATCTATACCATGGCTGATCTTTAGTCCTGTTCCCAACTTTCCCAGCAAAAAATGACAATAATCTTAGGAAGGAGACTATCCATGCTCTCCCTGGGGAGTGCCCTAGCTTTGTCCTAGCATCAGACTTTCTCTTTTCTGAGTCACTAATTGTTTAACAAATTCATATGTGAGAACACATAACAGCCATTTGTGGAGCCCCATCCACTTTTCATATGTGTTACTTCCTTTGGACTTGAGGCTGCATCCAAGATGCTGAGCCATAAGGGGCCCAATCAGCGGCAGTCACTTGACGGGGTCTTTATTTTCCTGGGGAGAGCCAGCGAGGATGCTCTGTTCAGAAAGGGGAAGAATTCAAGTAGAATTTGTAAAGTCACCTTTATGATAAGTCCTCGCATTCCAGAGAACAAACCAAATTATCATCCAGCCTAGGGAACAAGATAAAGTGAAAGTTCACCCACGTGTAATGTGCAAATGGAAAGAAGGTAAGACAGTGGAATGTAAATTCTGCAAATCTGTCCTCATTCTAAACTGTTACCCGTTCAGCAGTCATCGTTTGGCAAGCCACAGAGCTGTCTTGGAAGTAGCTTTAAATTTCTCTTGGAAATGATACTAAATCAAAACCCTGGAAAGAAGTATCTAGTATTCTTGAGATGAATTTTAGTTAGAATTTATTCCCTGCAAATAAGTCAATCAAGAGTGAGCTAATTGGGCTGATGCTGTCCATGAAATGGCTTGTATCTCTGTGTCTTAGCCAGACGTGGGCTCAGCAAAATGGTAGGGAATATCCGAGTTTCACAAGTGACCTAAGTAAACTGTTGAAAGTGCGAGGAACACAGATTAATATATAAACCAGAACCCACTGGTTGGCTGTCTTGGCTTGGCCTCATAGCAGGCCAGTTTAGCTCCTGAACATGGACAGCAGACTAGGGGGTAATTCAACTTTTGTGCACCTACAGATGGATAAAGAAGTTCCAATAAATATAACTGCTGGGTTATGATCCTTTTAACCATTCAAAGCCTGTTTTACTATCAGGAGGTGGGGGATAAGTCATTTCCAAAGCTATCTTGCCCTGCATGGTTTTCCTTTCTAATTCTTAGGCCAAGATCCCTGAGAGCCCTTCTTTGAGTCTTTGCTTTCCTAGAGTGGTCTCTGTGGAAGAATCATTTGTGTAGGCTCCAGTAATTACTGTCTACTGACGACAATTTCTTCTCAGAACTCCTAGAATTGAGAGCCAAAGAGATTTACACTGAGCTGTGTTAAATGATACTTCGTCTTCCCAGCAATAGCCTCTGGAAATGCCCAAGCAGAGGGAGATGTTCCATCAGGTCTTTTGACTGACACTGGTATTAGTACCTTCACAAACACAGAGGCCTATGACACTCACACCCATAGTGATCCCATCCCCCAAAATATCTCCTTCAATTAGCTACAAATACAGATGCGTATTTGTCCAAAGGAGCTCTTTCTCTTCATTCTTTTCCAAAGGTTCCCTGCCCAATTTATGTCACACTTTGCTCCAGCTCCCAAGTCTGACGTCTGTCAGTGCCTACACTGAGACCTTTTCTCCCACACACTCTGATCCTTGTGAAACAGATTTTTTAAAAAAATGTATAACCAAATCAAAAGTGCCCTTCAGTGCCCTCAGAGTGCTAATGTCACCACTGCTGGCTCTGTCCCGCCCCTTGACAGAAGAACAGTAATTCTTATCTAATAGATAAAGAAGGGAGAAAGATTTGATGTGGGCGTGAGAGCAAGATTCATGGATTGCATAATGCAGTAGTCCTCTTGCTTCCAGAATTTTAAGAGAAAGTTGGGAGAGACAGCAGCTCAGAGCCCTGTGGATTTGCATTTTTTTTCCAGGAGCATTCTGGGAAAGGATGACTCACACGCGTGAATATATTTATTGCTTTGATTCATGTTTAAATGCTGGTACTTGTTATGCTATGGTTACGTGGATTATGAATATTTAATGCCGGGTAGACTGAAAATGAAGGTCAAGTCCTGCTCGCTGGCAACTTCAAGGCAGGCTCTTGTCTCTGAAAGGCACTGTAACCTGCTGTTAGCAGAGTAAAGCAGAAAGGTTATACACTGTTAAAATTTTCCTTAATGACTTTATCTGCTCCAGAATAGCTGGTCCACAGTCAGGGTTCCTGCTGATTCTGCCAGGCTCTGCTCTTGGCTTCTGGAGTCTGAGCTGCTGTTTTGGGGATGTGGACATTAGAAAGGAGGAGAGAATCACAGCACACATTTTGTAGAACGTCTAATTCACAGGCTCAATTGCCAGGATAAAAGTAGTGCTGTGGCTGGTTAATGGTCTCCCTTCGGTTTATAAATGTTGCCTTCATATTCATTCATTTACTTTGTACTCATTCATTCATTCACTGAGTTGACACCGTGGATGTAATCAGGATACCCAGGGCATTAGCAGGACTCATTAAGTACTTCCCAATTTTACCTTCCATTTACACATCCCTCAGCTGAGAAACTCTCTTTCAAAAGGGACCAGGAGGCAGGTGGTTGGAGGGAACCAGGCTTGCTGCTGATGTGCTATGTGTGAGCTATGATGCCCCACAAGCTAAAATAAACAACATATGCAGTCTCATCGGACTCTCTAAACAACCTCCTGTGACCATTCCCACTTCATGGATGAAATAACCAAAGCTGCAAAGCTTGCCCCAAACCATGTAGTTCCTAAGCAGTGGAGCCAGGATCTGATTCAGGTTCCTTGCCCGAACGCCATCTTTGTGACAAGTGACTAGAAATGAGTGAGACTACAGATTGTGGAAGCAACTGAAGTGGTTTAGTGTGAAATTGTAAGAATCGGAAGTGATGTCACCTTGTCTGGGCAAATTGTCTGTTTTGTGTCATGCTTTGTGGTCCATGCTCTGGTTGTTGACACAGGAGCAATGTCTGTGGCGAACAGTGCTGACAGAGGTCCCATCACAAGCATCTCCTTGAAGGTATTAGCAACTCATGGGCTGTCTGATGTGTGTTTGGACTTGCTTTTTTCCTTCCTGATGATTAGTAGGACCTTCTTCTTTCATAATCTCATGGAGTGGCAGCACCTT